GGACCTCACACGGTCGTGCTCGGGCCCTAAATATATATATAATCCGAGCAGATTCAATAGGGACCTCGCACGGTCGTGCTCGGGCCCTAAAAAATAATCCGAGCAGATTCAATAGGGACCTCGCACGGTCGTGCTCGGGCCCTAAAAATATAATCCGAGCAAATTCAATAGGGACCTCGCACGGTCGTGCTCGGGCCCTAAAAAAAAAAAATAATCCGAGCAATTTCAATAGGGACCTCGCACGGTCGTGCTCGGGCCCTAAATATAATCCGAGCAGATTCAATAGGGACCTCGCACGGTCGTGCTCGGGCCCTAAAAATAATCCGAGCAAATTCAATAGGGACCTCGCACGGTCGTGCTCGGGCCCTAATAAATAAATGTAGGTAGTAATTAAATTATACAAGGAGACATAAATGTATATATTTTAATTAGTGCCTTTACTTATTCACCTTTGTTATAATTACCTTATTTGTTTATTCAACTTTATTTATTACTAATTTTTTTAATGTATTTATTTATGTGTGTGTTTTAATATTTTTGTTTTATTCTTCCTTTGTATTTATTTACCTTATTTATTTTCACCCATGGTATTTATTTCTGCCTGTCTTAAATTTTTGTATGCATTTCTGCCTCATTATGCAAATGAGGAGGGGCTGTGTCTCAAGGGGTCATCTTCTCTGCTATTGGTGGACCAGTCAGACAGGAGAGCTCCTACTCTGCCTGCAGACATCAACGATCTTGCCCCTCACACAGTCAGATGGCTTCCTTCAGTGCGCTGAGGTGTTTAACAACTCTGAAGACAATACTACCAGCAATGTCTTCCTTCTCTTTTCACGTAGAAGCACCGACAGACAGTGCTTTCAGTTTGCTGCATGCATGGACACAGAACTGCGGTATAGGGAGAAGCACACGGTCAGCTGGCTGCAGCTAAATCTGGAGTGCACTCGTATTCAATTCTGTATGGTAAATTCAGTTTTAACGGAGCAGAGCGAGCTGACAGGCAGAGTTAGAGACTTTTTCTGTCTGTTTCTCTCTTTACAAAGACGCACGTTGCAGTCAGAGTCTTCTCTGAGATGCGAGCACGACATACAACACAATTTATCAAATTACACAACGGATATACAGTATGAAAATAAGATTGATTGGATTATACTCACAGGAAGTATAAAACCTCTTACATGGGTCTATTAAAAGTAAAGTAACACAAAATGTCAGGGAAATTACTTTACTTATATTTAAGTACTGCAGTTGTACATTTGAAATACCTTCCTACCTTTCTGATAGGAAGCCTTCTTGAGGTGGTATAAAACATTTCTTCTTATATTCTGATTTGAGTTGTGGACAACTATGACCACATGAATTAAAAAAACATTTCACTGCCCAAGTCAGCTATAACACAAGTCTTGATCATCAGACTACATGCTGTACAGTATTTGTGGACAGATTTTGTCCCAGGATTTCTTATGCATTTCTTCTTCTTCGTTGCATGATTTAGAATAATAAGGTGAGAAATGGGTCTATTCTGAGTTCATCCTGCACTGCAGCAGCTAATAAAGTCCATTTAATCCCCAAAACGCTTTTCTTTTAGGCAGGCTGGAGCAGAAAACAACTCACCTTTCTCAAGTTGTACAGTAATGTCACATGTGTATGAAGGTGGATCAAACAAGCTAATCTTAAATGTCAAAGTAGAGAGGAGCCTAGTAGGCCTATTTATTTTCATTCATTACACAATATGAATAAGCTATGCAGACAGTTGTAAAGAAAGAACATCTTTTTCTTCTGTTCTCTACTTGTTATAGTTACACAGTATTAGGGGTGTGGGCTGTATTAAAAGTATCCACTGTTCTCCCATGCTCTAACACACAGTAACGATGAAATGTGTGCTGTTCTCACATTCTTCCTCTGTATGTACACATAAACAACAAGGCAGGGAAATATAAAAGGAATTTATTTTATTGTTTGGGTACATTATTGTTCAGTGTACATGTTCACATCTGAAACAGACTTTACGTGCTTGATAACTCTCCCACCCCGCAGACATCTACACGTCAATACCTATTTATATTCATAGCGGCAAGTGCTATGTAGCTCCACATAGGGGACACAGGAAGTGACATATAGCACATTCATGCGGCGTCGGAACCGCGTAGGAAATTCACAGCCGCACCGGCAGAGCTCCAGAATGTGCAACTCGGCCGGCTCACGCGCGGACGCGCTTACAAGTGCGAGGGCCCGCCCAACGCTGCTTGCAGCTTTAATTTATGTGTGTGTTTTAATATTTTTGTCTGTTTTATTCTTCCTTTGTATTTATTTACCTTATTTATTTTCACCCATGGTATTTATTTCTGCCTGTCTTTTTTAAATTTTGTATGCATTTCTGCCTCATTATGCATATGAGGAGGGGCTGTGTCTCAAGGGGTCATCTTCTCTGCTATTGGTGGACCAGTCAGACAGGAGAGCTCCTACTCTGCCTGCAGACATCAACGATCTTGCCCCTCACACAGTCAGATGGCTTCCTTCAGTGCGCTGAGGTGTTTAACAACTCTGAAGACAATACTACCAGCAATGTCTTCCTTCTCTTTTCACGTAGAAGCACCGACAGACAGTGCTTTCAGTTTGCCGCATGCATGGACACAGAACTGCGGTATAGGGAGAAGCACACGGTCAGCTGGCTGCAGCTAAATCTGGAGTGCACTCGTATTCAATTCTGTATGGTAAATTCAGTTTTAACGGAGCAGAGCGAGCTGACAGGCAGAGTTAGAGACTTTTTCTGTCTGTTTCTCTCTTTACAAAGACGCACGTTGCAGTCAGAGTCTTCTCTGAGATGCGAGCACGACATACAACACAATTTATCAAATTACACAACGGATATACAGTATGAAAATAAGATTGATTGGATTATACTCACAGGAAGTATAAAACCTCTTACATGGGTCTATTAAAAGTAAAGTAACACAAAAATGTCAGGGAAATTACTTTACTTATATTTAAGTACTGCAGTTGTACATTTGAAATACCTTCCTACCTTTCTGATAGGAAGCCTTCTTGAGGTGGTATAAAACATTTCTTCTTATATTCTGATTTGAGTTGTGGACAACTATGACCACATGAATTAAAAAAACATTTCACTGCCCAAGTCAGCTATAACACAAGTCTTGATCATCAGACTACATGCTGTACAGTATTTGTGGACAGATTTTGTCCCAGGATTTCTTATGCATTTCTTCTTCTTCGTTGCATGATTTAGAATAATAAGGTGAGAAATGGGTCTATTCTGAGTTCATCCTGCACTGCAGCAGCTAATAAAGTCCATTTAATCCCCAAAACGCTTTTCTTTTAGGCAGGCTGGAGCAGAAAACAACTCACCTTTCTCAAGTTGTACAGTAATGTCACATGTGTATGAAGGTGGATCAAACAAGCTAATCTTAAATGTCAAAGTAGAGAGGAGCCTAGTAGGCCTATTTATTTTCATTCATTACACAATATGAATAAGCTATGCAGACAGTTGTAAAGAAAGAACATCTTTTTCTTCTGTTCTCTACTTGTTATAGTTACACAGTATTAGGGGTGTGGGCTGTATTAAAAGTATCCACTGTTCTCCCATGCTCTAACACACAGTAACGATGAAATGTGTGCTGTTCTCACATTCTTCCTCTGTATGTACACATAAACAACAAGGCAGGGAAATATAAAAGGAATTTATTTTATTGTTTGGGTACATTATTGTTCAGTGTACATGTTCACATCTGAAACAGACTTTACGTGCTTGATAACTCTCCCACCCCGCAGACATCTACACGTCAATACCTATTTATATTCATAGCGGCAAGTGCTATGTAGCTCCACATAGGGGACACAGGAAGTGACATATAGCACATTCATGCGGCGTCGGAACCGCGTAGGAAATTCACAGCCGCACCGGCAGAGCTCCAGAATGTGCAACTCGGCCGGCTCACGCGCGGACGCGCTTACAAGTGCGAGGGCCCGCCCAACGCTGCTTGCAGCTTTAATTTATGTGTGTGTTTTAATATTTTTGTCTGTTTTATTCTTCCTTTGTATTTATTTACCTTATTTATTTTCACCCATGGTATTTATTTCTGCCTGTCTTTTTTAAATTTTTGTATGCATTTCTGCCTCATTATGCATATGAGGAGGGGCTGTGTCTCAAGGGGTCATCTTCTCTGCTATTGGTGGACCAGTCAGACAGGAGAGCTCCTACTCTGCCTGCAGACATCAACGATCTTGCCCCTCACACAGTCAGATGGCTTCCTTCAGTGCGCTGAGGTGTTTAACAACTCTGAAGACAATACTACCAGCAATGTCTTCCTTCTCTTTTCACGTAGAAGCACCGACAGACAGTGCTTTCAGTTTTGAATGTGCAACTCGGCCGGCTCACACGCGGACGCGCTTACAAGTGCGAGGGCCCGCCCAACGCTGCTTGCAGCTTTAATTATTCATATAACTGCAAAAATCTTTGTCCACGCCCTAACGCGGCGCTCGCATGAAAGGCCTCTCCGTCTCAAAGTCCCGGACTGAAATTCAGTTCCAGTACATCCTTGTTGGCAGTGATCATAAACAGCAAATGTAGTATATCCATCACACCACTACTTCTAAATGTTCAAATCTGCCTATTTTTACAAAAAGGATATATATGTTTAATTTCACCTATTTAGACAAAAATAAGAATTAGAAAAACTAACATTTTTATACAAAACATACAGGAACCAGTATTATATTAAAACTGCTAATTAATTAAAATCAAATATTCTTTCTACTTGCTAAATGTTTTGATAGTACCTGGACATTTTTAGACTAGCATTCAGCCATCCACTTGCCACACTAGTCACTTGATACTAAATTAAACTACAATGGCGACTTATTTTGATGTTCAATTACACAGTGTCCTCGTGACCCCGTACACAGGATAAGCGGTTGACGATGGATGGATGGATTACACAATGTTTTACTACAGTTCAGTAGTTAAGGTAAGCTACCTAAAATCACAATCAGAATTGGGTTTATTGTTAAGTAGGTCTTCACATACAAGGAATTTGCTTGGTGTTTTGGCACATAATAATAAACATAGTAAGAGAGAATAAACTACATGGTTATATTTAGGGAAAGTTCGTCATGGTTAAATAGGTTTAAAACTCCACCACACAAAGTTAACTGCACACTTTCACATTGCACTTGCACATTCGCACTGAACAATGTCACTGGGTGTAAACTGTGTCCTGCTGAATTGTAAAATGCTTTTTATTGGAAATAAATATAGTACATTTTACTCTACAGCATGTATTTGCATTTTTTAAATGTTAACAATGCCACATGAAACATAGCATATAAAGAGGCATTCACAAAACAAATACATTGAATGGCAACTGCTACACAAATGCCCAAAACATATAAAATATACTGTTTTTGATCTTGTAATCTTAATGATTAGTTCTTTAAATAAAATGGAAGTGAAGTACCAAAATCAAATGTTGAGAATACTGAGAAACTCTCAATTTTGGCACAAAATCCACATCTTTTTACTACATGTCATAATATTGGTAAATTTCATAATGCACACTTGTTATGTCTTTTGTTTGTTGGTACACAGCTTTTTTCTGCTGATAAAGCTGATAAAAGCTTTTGGCCTGCAGGCTATAAGTCTATCAGTATCTGTGCCACAGCCAGCAGTGTTAGGGAAAAGACTGCCAATGAGCCCACTGTGGGACGAAGAGAACTGCTTGATGTTGATGTTGACTCTGAAATATAAGAAAAGGCAGAGGTATCAGCCAGTGCCTAAAAGTAACTTCAGAAGTTCAAAATGCATGTTTTACAGGTAGCTTCATCCCAACTTTGAGCCCTCGTCTTATTTTCCAATTTAAAAATTAGCAGATAATTGCAAATATGATTGTAACATGCATTTAATAATTTAATAAATGTAAACCATAAAATCATAATGTTTGACATTTAAGTTTCTTACCCACAGACACGCTGCCCGGTATAATGTTCAGGGACGTAGAGGTGCTCGTAAGTGCACTACTGAGTTGTGAAGTTGCAGTGCTTGCTGAAGGAACAGAGTTTTTATCTGTGAACACAAGGGTCATGTTGACAACCACTGATCCACTCCTACAATGACAAAGAGAGAAAGCAACACTTTTTAAAAGCAAGTCGCCACATATGTCTAGCAAACATGTCAGTGATCGACATTACCTGAATGAGTTGACGATGGAGCGACGGAAAAATGATCCAAACAGCTCTCCACACACTCTGTTTACCTGAAAGGTAACATTACTGTGATTTGCAAATAAAAATACAACAAATGGCCACAAGCACCAATGAACAGTTTAGCACAAAGCAGAGGCATTGCAAAGGTTTGCAGATGACGGAGAGTTAGCCCTACTAGGATCTCTGCTCAGCCTCACAATTAGTAGATGTTGCTAAATTGCAGCAAGTAAGAACAGAAAAATCCACCTTCCAATATACTGCAATAATGCCTAATACATTCAAATCTTAAAACAAGCCATCATTATCTGCATTTGCGTCCAAGATCAAGGAAGGGTTGCTAATTTACCAAAATATTGGCCTAATTAAGAAAAAAAGAATAATATTAGCTTTCATTGTTTCCAAATGAAAATTACAGGGACAGACTGAATGATAAATTGGCAAAAATGTGAGTGTTCTTATATTCTATGTATGTGCTGATCAGATTCCTCAAAATTATTATTTTACATAAATATTTGAACGTTTAAGAGATGTCTGCACTTAAAAGTCTCCTTCTTAGTCTTATGATGCCCATTGAAAATAATTCTTTGCAGTAAAAAGTTTTGTTGTTAGAAGCACACTGTTATAGTGCATAGACATCTTACCCCTCTGACAACTGATGCAGCTAAAGTCTGGAACGCTGCTGATGATGGGTTGGAGAGATCTGATGTAAATTCTTGGTTAAGACGAAACGTAAGGCCAAGGGTTCCCTCGCTGAAGGTAGGAGGATTTGTTGATGCAGCGGTGGTGGTAGTTGTTGTAGTGGTGGAAGGAGATGTAGGAGCAGCAGTTGAAGTAACAGTGGGAGCTGCAGTAGGGGCAGCTGTTACATGTGGACCTGCAGTTGAAGCCGCTGTAATGCTGGGAGCCGCTGTCAGGGCAGTGGTAGGAGAAGCTGTAGCATTAAGAGTTGCTGTCAGGGCAGCTGTAACATTAGGTGCAGCAGTATTAGCAGCAGAAGAAGAGCAGCTGTACCAATACCAATGGTTTACCAATTAATATAACACTGTAACATGCAGTTAATTTAAATAAAATCATTTAAATAGATTGATAGATTGATTCATTTTAATTTGTATTTCTTAAATTACTTACTTATATTGATGCTGTCTTCTATTATGTCCAGGGACGTAGAGTTGAGTGCAATCCTGAGTTGTGAAGTTGCAATGCTTGGTGGAGGAACTGAGCTTAGATTTGCAAACACAAGGGTCGAGTTGACAACTACTGATCCATTTCTACAATGACAAAGAGACAAAGCAACACTTTTTAAAAGCAAGTCAACAACATGTCTAGCAAAGGTTTGTCAGTGATCAAAATTTTGTCTTCCCTGAATGAGTTGATGAGGGAGCGAAGGAAAGATGGTCCAAACAGCTTTAAACACTCTTTGTTTATCTGAAAGAAAACATTACTGTGATTTTGCAATTTAATGGCTTACAACACATTTTGTTCTGTTTGGAGGCAGATATATCTCATACATATGCTTGATGGCTTATTAGGGCCATTATAATATTTTTTTAATTACTGAGTTGCATGAGGGGGGTAATATTCAGAGAAAAAAATTATTTACAAGATCACACAATGTACACAGGGGTACGCTTTGTACCCCTGTGTAAATTTTTTGAACCTACAATAGACCTAATATGCCGTGGTACATATGTTATCATCTGTACACATAATATGTTATACATACGTTATAAATGAGACACTGTCCCCTCAAAATAACACATCACATAGCCATTAATGTCTAAACCGCTGGCTATAAGAGTACACCCCTAAGTGAAAATGTCCAAATTGGGCCCAATTTGCCATTTTTCCTCCCCGGTGTCATGTGGCTCGTTATTGTTACAAGATCTCAGGTGTGAACGGGTAGCAGGTGTGTTAAGTTTGGTGTTATCACATTCACACTCCCTCGTACTAGTCACTGGAAGTTCAGCATGGCACGTTATGGAATATAACTCTCTGAGGATGTGACAAAAAGAATTGTTGCTCTACGTAAAGATGGTATGGGCTATAAGAAGATCCTGAAACTGAGCTGCAGCACGGTGGCCAAGACCATACAGCGGTTCAACAGGACAGGTTCCACTCAGAACAGCGTGATAACCAAAGATTGCTACAGAGGTTGAAGGGGTGAGGAGTCAGCCTGTCAGTGCTCAGGAGGAGGAGGAGTACAAAGACAAGTGTGTCATGGTCTGGGGCTGCATGAGCACTGAGGAGATACAGTTCACTGAGGGAACCGTGAATACCAACATATACTGTGACATACTGAAGCAGAGCATGATCCCCTCCCTTCGGAGACTAGGCCTGCAGGGCAGTATTCCAAAATGATAACAACCCCAAACACACTCCAAGACGAGAACTGCCTTGCTAAAAACGGAGGAGCGCAAGGTCTCTAACATCCACTAGCTCCGTAATGTCGTCATGGAGGAGTGGAAGAGACTCCACAGGCAACCTGTGAAGCTCTGGTGAACTCCATGCCCAAGAGGGTTAAGGCAGTGCTGGAAAATAATGGTGGCCACGCAAAATATTGACACTTTGGGCCCAATTTGGACATTTTCACTTAGGGGTGTACTCCCTTTTACTTTTGTTGCCAGGGGTTTAGACATTAACGGCAGTGTGATGTGTTAGTTTGAGGGGAAAACAAATTTGTCACATGAAAAGATATAATCAAATATTTACAAAAATGTGAGGTATGTATTCACTTTTGTTAGATACTGTATTTGGACAGATAGAATTACCAAATTTCGATACAAGAATGTTAGCAACATGAGTATGTTCAGGGACCAATTCACAAAGAATGCAGCCTCTGAAAGCACCACGAATAGTGCATCACTTGCAATGCTATTTGCCCTGTCTCAAGTTCTGATTCACAAAAGATATTGTACTAATGATATACAGCGCAAACATTCCCATAAAGTTTTGCAGCTGAGTGCAATTTGCCCTTGTTCTGTGTATGTTAAATGTTCATCTGCAGTTTTCTGTAGTAGTCCTAATAATATTTGTTCTTAAAGTGTACTGAAGTACCATATCATATGACATGGTTAAGCAATGCTTGAGTCAAGAACAGAACTATCAGCTCATATGTTTAAATGTTTGTTTTGAAAGAGAATATACTCTTATTACAATAACTACTTGAACTGCAGGCAGCTGTAAATTGGGTCAAAGGCTAAATGTCCTTTGGTTGAAAATGCCTTTGAAATGAATAGGATTTTCCAAGGCTATTTCAGCTTCAATTATAGTCCCAACTATAGGCCGAAGTGCACAAAGTTTTTCAGGTGTCATCAGGGGCCCATGGGGAATAAATGACCCAATTTGGTGTCAGTCGGACTTGTGGTTATGGAGATATAAAATGTAGAGATAAGACACTAATAATTTCACTCTAACTGCGTGTGTTTATTATTGCTGGTGTTTGTGAATGACGTGCTAGCAGACAGGGTTAACCTCCTTCGTGTTGCTATGCATTACCACCACCACTCCTCTAGATGGCACTGTCTCAAAAGAATTACGGTCCTAGAGCGGTGGTCCCAGGGTTGTGGGGTCCTGAAACTGCAGTCTCCGGTACTTCAGCTATATAATATTGACTCCTGGAGCTAGTCCGCAATTACAGAGGTAGTTATGATGTCATTAAAATCACAACCTGCTCGAGTGTCGCTATGTTTGGTTTGTTTATGATGTGCAAATTTGGAAGTTGTCAAGGAAGATAATCCGGTGTTGGCGAGGGATGATCCGTTCCTGGTCTGCCCCCTAGTGGATTCAGGTATAATCCTCCAGGTACACGCAAAGTACGCAGGCAAGTATGTGACCAAAGGCGTTTGCATCACCGACGCCTGTCTACACCTACGAATTGTTAAAAAGCAAGTATATCCAGGGCTTTACAGGGGGTACACTTTAACGAACTCCTCCTAGGGATTTAGTCCGACTGACTTTATCTAAAGGCACTGACGATGAAAAGTTGTACTGTCTGTTAGTTTTCGTCAATGTGCGTGTCCGTGCGTCAATGGGCACACTTCGTACTTTAACGAACTTCTCCTAGGGATTTAGTCCGACCGACCTCAAATTTCTGCTGTGCCTTCTAAAGGCATTGAAGATGAAAAGTTGTGCTTTTCACCTACACGTTTCACCTACATGCACAAATTTTCTGTGGTACGTGTATAATGTCCAGACGTACCAAAAAGCCTCTTGGAGCAATTCCCTAAAATCAACAGGAAGTCGGCCATTTTGAATTTTACGTCAAATTTTGGATGATTTACACACTCCGTACTTTAACGAACTCCTCTTAGGGATTTAGTCCGACCGACTTCAAATTTGTGCTGTGCCTTCTAAAGGCATTGAAGATGAAAAGTTGTGCTATCTGTGAGTTTTTATCAATGGCCGTATCTGTGGCATGGTGACAAAGATCAACTCGTCGCCACGACACAGGAAGTTGTTGTAACTTCAGTGTACATGCTCACATCTGAACCAAACTTTACGTGCTTGATAACTCTCCCACCCCGCAGACATCTACACGCCAATACCGATTTATATTCATAGCGGCAAGTGCTATGTAGCTCCACATAGGGGACACAGGAAGTGACATATAACACCTTCATGCGGCGTCGGAACCGCGTAGCAAATTCACAGCCGCACCGGCAGAGCTCCAGAATGTGCAACTCGGCCGGCTCACACGCGGACGCGCTTACAAGTGCGAGGGCCCGCCCCATTATTTTTATGTATTTGTATTATTACCTCTACCATTACTATTATGTTAACTCTTTATGTGGAACTTGCATTGCGCTACTGACTGTTCTCTTTCCTCCTGCTACCCATTTGAAAAGCTGCGCAATCCTTTTGTGAATTCGACCCTCAGTGTGCATGATGATCACAGAATTTTTTGGGAGTAAAAAGTGTGCTGTGATAGTGTATGGACATTTTACCACGATGACCACTAATGTGGCTAATTCCTGGTATGCTGCTGAGGATGAGTTGGAGAGTTCCAGTGTAAATATTCTGTTGAGTCTAAAATGAAGTCCCAGGGTTCCCTCACTGGATGAAGGTGGGTTTGTTGATGCAGTGGCGGATGAAATAGCTGGTGCAGCAGTGGAAGTGGTTGTTTCACTGGTAACTGTAGTCGTGACAGCAGTAGTGCCAGCTGTCGTATTATGACCTGCTGTTGGAGCCGCTGTAATGTTGGGAGCCACTGTAGTATTAGGAGCTGCTGTAGGGGTAGCTGTAGCATTAGGAGCTGTAGTTAGAGCCGCTGTAATGTTGGGAGCGACATTCAGGGCAGCTGTAGTATTAGGAGCTGCTGTAGGGGTAGGGGTAGCTGTAGCATTAGGAGCTGCTGTCGGGGTAGCTGTAGCATTAGGACCTGTAGTTGTAACCACTGTAATGTTGGGAGCCACTGTCAGGGCAGCTGTAGTATTAGGAGCTGCTGTAGGGGTAGCTGTAGCATTAGGAGCTGTAGTTGGAGCCGCTGTAATGTTGGGAGCCACTGTCAGGGCAGCTGTAGTATTAGGAGCTGCTGTAGGGGTAGGGGTAGCTGTAGCATTAGGAGCTGCTGTCGGGGTAGCTGTAGCATTAGGACCTGTAGTTGTAACCACTGTAATGTTGGGAGCCACTGTCAGGGCAGCTGTAGTATTAGGAGCTGCAGTCGGGGTAGCATTAACATTAGGAGCTGTAGTTGGAGCCGCTGTAATGTTGGGAGCCACTGTCAGGGCAGCTGTAGTATTAGGAGCTGCTGTAGGGGTAGCTTTAGCATTAGGAGCTGTAGTTGGAGCCGCTGTAATGTTGGGAGCCACTGTCAGGGCAGTTGTAGTATTAGGAGCTGCTGTCGGTGTAGCTGTAGCATTAGGAGCTGTAGCATTAGGAGCAGTAGTTGGAGCCGCTGTAATGTTGGGAGCCACTGTCAGGGCAGTTGTAGTATTAGGAGCTGCTGTAGGGGTAGCTGTAGCATTAGGACCTGTAGTTGTAACCGCTGTAATGTTGGGAGCCACTGTCAGGGCAGCTGTAGTATTAGGAGCTGCTGTAGGGGTAGCTGTAGCATTAGGAGCTGTAGTTGGAGCCGCTGTAATGTTGGGAGCCACTGTCAGGGCAGCTGTAGTATTAGGAGGTGTAGTTGGAGCCGCTGTAATGTTGGGAGCTGCTGTCAGGGCAGTTGTAGTATTAGGAGCTGCTGTAGGGGTAGCTGTAGCATTAGGAGCTGTAGTTGGAGCCGCTGTAATGTTGGGAGCCACTGTCAGGGCAGTTGTAGTATTAGGAGCTGCTGTAGGGGTAGCTGTAGCATTAGGAGCTGTAGTTGGAGCCGCTGTAATGTTGGGAGCCACTGTCAGGGCAGTTGTAGTATTAGGAGCTGCTGTAGGGGTAGCTGTAGCATTAGGAGCTGTAGTTGGAGCCGCTGTAATGTTGGGAGCCACTGTCAGGGCAGCTGTAGCATTAGGAGCTGCTGTAGGGGTAGGGGTAACTGTAGCAGTAGGAGCTGCTGTCGGGGTAGCTGTAGCATTAGGAGCAGTAGTTGGAGCCGCTGTAATGTTGGGAGCCACTGTCAGGGCAGCTGTAGCATTAGGAGCTGCTGTAGGGGTAGCTGTAACATTAGGAGCTGTAGTTGGAGCCGCTGTAATGTTGGGAGCCACTGTCAGGGCAGCTGTAGTATTAGGAGCTGCTGTAGAGGTAGCTTTAGCATTAGGACCTGTAGTTGGAGCCGCTGTAATGTTGGGAGCCACTGTCAGGGCAGTTGTAGTATTAGGAGCTGCTGTAGGGGTAGCTGTAGCATTAGGACCTGTAGTTGTAACCGCTGTAAAGTTGGGAGCCACTGTCACGGCAGCTGTAGCATTAGGAGCTGCTGTAGGGGTAGCTGTAGCATTAGGAGCTGTAGTTGGAGCCGCTGTAATGTTGGGAGCCACTGTCAGGGCAGCTGTAGTATTAGGAGGTGTAGTTGGAGCCGCTGTAATGTTGGGAGCTGCTGTCAGGGCAGTTGTAGTATTAGGAGCTGCTGTAGGGGTAGCTGTAGCATTAGGAGCTGTAGTTGGAGCCGCTGTAATGTTGGGAGCCACTGTCATGGCAGCTGTAGTATTAGGAGCTGCTGTCGGGGTAGCTGTAGCATTAGGAGCTGTAGTTGGAGCCGCTGTAATGTTGGGAGCCACTGTCAGGGCAGTTGTAGTATTAGGAGCTGCTGTAGGGGTAGGGTAGCTGTAGTATTAGGAGCTGCTGTCGGGGTAGCTGTAGCATTAGGAGCTGTAGTTGGAGCCGCTGTAATGTTGGGAGCCACTGTCAGGGCAGCTGTAGTATTAGGAGCTGCTGTCAGGGTAGCTGTAACATTAGGAGGTGTAGTTGTGTCCGCGGTAATGTTGGGAGCCGCTGTCAGGGCAGCTGTAGTATTAGGAGCTGCTGTAGAGGTAGCTGTAGCATTAGGAGCTGCAATAGGGGTAGCTGTAGCATTAGGACCTGTAGTTGTAACCACTGTAATGTTGGGAGCCACTGTCACGGCAGCTGTAGTATTAGGAGCTTCTGTAGGGGTAGCTGTAGTATTAGGACCTTTAGTTGGAGCCGCTGTAATGTTGGGAGCCACTGTCAGGGCAGTTGTAGTATTAGGAGCTGCTGTAGAGGTAGCTGTAGTATTAGGAGCTGCTGTAGGGGTAGCTGTAGCATTAGGAGCTGTAGTTGGAGCCGCTGTAATGTTGGGAGCCACTGTCAGGGCAGCTGTAGTATTAGGAGCTGTAGTTGGAGCCGCTGTAATGTTGGGAGCCACTGTCAGGGCAGCTGTAGCATTAGGAGCTGCAATAGGGGTAGCTGTAGCATTAGGACCTGTAGTTGTAACCACTGTAATGTTGGGAGCCACTGTCACGGCAGCTGTAGTATTAGGAGCTGCTGTCGGGGTAGCTGTAGCATTAGGAGCTGTAGTTGGAGCCGCTGTAATATTGGGAGCCACTGTCAGGGCAGCTGTAGTATTAGGAGCTGCTGTCGGGGTAGCTGTAGCATTAGGAGCAGTAGTTGGAGCCGCTGTAATGTTGGGAGCCACTGTCACGGTAGTTGTAGTATTAGGAACTGCTGTAGGGGCAGCTGTTGCATTTGGACCTGCAGTTGGAGCTGCTGTAATGCTGGGAGCCGCTGTCGGGGCAGCAGTAGGAGATTCCGTAGCATTAGGAGTTGCAGTTGGGGCAGCTGTCATAGGGGCAGCTGTAACATTAGGTGCAGCGGTGGAAGCAGCAGGAGAAGCAGCTGTACCAATACCAATGGTTTATCAATTAATATAACACTGTAACATGCAGTTAATTTAAATAAAATCATTTAAATAGATTGATAGATTGATTCATTTTAATTTGTATTTCTTATTAATTACTTACTTATATTAATGCTGTCTAGTATTATGTCCAGAGATGTAAAGTTGAGTGCAATCCTGAGTTGTGAAGTTGCATTGCTTGGTGGAGGAACTGAGCTTTGATTTGCGAATACAAGGGTCGAGTCAACGACTACTGATCCATTCCTACAATGACAGAGAGAAAGCAACACTTTTTTAAAGCAAGTCAACAACACGTGTCTAGCAAAGGTTTGTCAGTGATCGACATTTTGTCTTACCTGAATGAGTTGATGAGGGAGCGACTGAAAGATGGTCCAAACAGCTTTGCACATTCCATGTTTATCTGAAAACATTACTGTTACTTAATTTAATGGCTTACACCATATTTTGTTCTGTTTGGTTTGGAGGCAGATAGATCTCATACATATGCATGATGGCTTATTAGGGCCATTATAATTTATTTTAAATTACTGAGTTGCGCAAGTGAGTAATATTTAGAGAAGAATTCCCGAGATCAAAGTTGTTAATTTACAATAAAAAAACTCTGAACATTCTCTGAGACTAAAGTCTTAAATTCACGAGAATGCTTTTCAGTCATTAATTAAATTGATTAAAACATTTTTTTAACCTACAATCGCCCTAATATGCCGTCATACGTTTGTCATCTTCTGTACATATAAAATGTTATACATACATTATAAATGATACAAAATTTCAGAATCTACTACAGTACCAAAATATTGGGCAAATTAATTAATAAAGGTATTGAATGAAAGGTAGTCTATTTCAACAATAACATTAACTTTTCAATGACAATTATGTGGACAAAATTATGATCTACATCAATGCAAGAATGTTAGCAACATGAGTATGTTCAGGGGCCAATTCACAAAGAATGGACTGAGGCCGCTAATAGCGCGAGGAATTTTGCAAAACTTGCAACGCTACCTGCCCTGTCTCAAGGTCTGATTCACAAAAGATAATGCACTTATGATATTACAGTGCAAACACGCCCATAAGGTTTTGCAGCAAGTGCAATTTGCTCTTGTTCTGTGTCTGTTAAATGTTCATCTGCAGTTTTCTCTAGTAGTCCTAATAATATTTGTTCTTGTGTACTCAAGTAACATATCACATGACATGGTTAAGCAACGCTTGAGTCAAGAAATGTTATAATTAAAGCTGTAATAACAAAACTATCAACTCATATATTTAAATGTTTGTTTTGAAAGAGAATGTATTCTAATTACAATAACTATTATATTTTTATAACTCCCCATGCTCTTTAATTTGTTTCTTTTTGCAGGTTGTCTATATTGAGTTTTGTCTCTGTTTTGTCAGAGTGATTGTTGTTTGGGATGCTTTAACTGTGCGCTCCAAGTCATGGAGAGCCATTTTCTTTACTCTGTGCGTAACAATCATCTATGCTTCTCACAGCAGTAGGTTTTATGTTGTTTTCCAGTTTCATTCCATCTTGGTCAATATTAGGTATTGAACTGTCTGTGCCCTTATGTACTATTGCTTCGCCTGGTTACAATCACCACTGCCACGATCACAGTAAAGTCTGGCCGTGACACACCTTATAAATGCACTTCTCTAAAGACGCTAATAATTTAATAATTACTCTAACTGTGTGTGTGGTTATTAGTGCTGGTGTTTGTGAATCTGGTTAGAAAAGGGCCAATTCTGCACCAAATGTGTGAATATTCGCAATACCTAATTTAAATACATGCAAATAGTCTATATAATATGTTCCTACTCGACACCCACTGCTACAATTATTATTATCACTTTCCTTTATTTTATTTATTTGTATTAATACCTTTACCATTACTATGATGTTAAATCTCTATGTTCAATTCAATTCAATTTTATTTATATAGCGCCAAATCACAACAACAGTTATCTCACAGCACTTTTCATAAAAGAGCAGGTCTAGACCATACTCCATATGATGTTATTTACAGAAGCCCAAAAATTCCCACCAAGAGCAAGCACTAGGCGACAGAGGCAAGGAAAAACGTCCTTTTAAGAGGCAGAAACCTCGAGCAGAACCATGGTTCAAGGTGGGCGGCCATCTGCCTCGACCGGTTGGGGATGAAGGAGAGAGAGGGAGAGAGAGAGAGAGAGAGGGGAAGAAAGAGAGAGAGAGAGAGAGAGAGAGAGAGAGAAAGATGACAAGAGAGAGAGAGGGAGAGGGCAAGAGAGGAACAGAGAGAAAAAGAGAGGGATGGAAGGAGAGAGAGGGGAGGGAGGCAGCCTATACAATATACATACACAGAGGTACAGACAGTAAAGGTGATGTTGCTATAGACTAAATGAAAAATGGTATAGATATTTATAGAAGTGTTAATGATAACAATCGTAATGTTAATGATTATAATAACAATAATAATAGGACTAGTAACAACAGTTGTTGTAGCAGTGGGTGTTGAGCAGGAACACGGGGGCAGCAGGTTACTCGCAGCCACAGATCCAGACTCCACAGCTCCAGAGCCAGAAACGCCTGCAGGAAGTGATAGGAGGAGAGAGGAGAGGGACGAGAAAGCACAAGACTACCGGAAAGGGGAGACGTTGTGTTAGTAACATGCAATAATGGGATGAGGTTGCATACAGAGGGAGAGAAAGTAGAGGAGAGAGGGGCTCAGTGCATCATGGGAAATCCCCCGGCAGTCTAGGCCTATAGCAGCATAACTAAGGGATGGTTCAGGACTCACCTCAGCCAGCCCTAACTATAAGCTTTATCAAAGAGGAAAGTCTTAAGCCTACTCTTAAATGTGGAGATGGTGTCTGCCTCCTGAACCCAAACTGGAACCTGGTTCCACAGGAGAGGAGCTTGATAGCTGAACGCTCTGGCTCCTAGTCTACTTTTGGAGACTCTAGGAACCATAAGTAACCCTGTATTCTGGGAGCGCAGTGCTCTGGTGGGGTAGTAAGGTGCTATGAGCTCTTTAAAATAAGATGGTGCCTGACCATTAAGAGCTTTGTAGGTAAGAGAATGATTTTAAATTCTATTCTGGATTTTACTGGAAGCCAATGCAAAGAAGCTAAGACAGGAGAAACATGATCTCTTTTCCTGGTTCCTGTCAGAACACGTGCTGCAGCATTCTGAATCAGCTGAAGAGTCTTAATGGACTTTTTCGAGCAGCAGCCTGATAATAAGGAATTGCAGTAATCCAGCCTAGAAGTAACAAATGCATGGACTAGTTTATCATTTTTAGACAGGATGTTCCTGATTTTCGCAATATTACGTAGGTGAAAAAAGGCGGTCCTTGAAATTTGCTTAATGTGAGACTTAAACGACATGTTCTGATCAAAGATAACTCCAAGATTCCACATGGTGGTGCTGGAGGCCAGGGCGATGCCATCAAGGGAAACTATATCTTTAGATAATGCGTCACGGAGGTGCTTAGGCCCCAGAACAATAACTTCAGTTTTTTAGATTGATCATATTTAGTATAGAAGTGCTGACTAAGGGTAAAACATCTTTAAGCAACCTAGTTGGGATGGGGTATAAGAGGCAGGTTGATGGTTTAGAAGAAGAAATTATTGAAGTTGGTTGGTAAAGATTGAGGGAAGCAAAGCTGTTTCTAAGGTTCCTAAGTTTAGAGATAAGTTGGTGCCAGTTGAGGGCAGGTCTTGGTGAATTTTGTTTCTAATAGTTAGAATTTTATCATTAAAGAAGCTCAAGAAGTCGTAACTACTGAGAGCTATGGGAATACTTGGCTCAATAGAGCTGTGACTCTCTGTCAGCCTGGCTACAGTGCTGAAAAGAAACCTGGGGTTGTTCCTATTTTCCTCTATTAATGATGAGTAGTACGCTGCTCTGGCATTACAAAGAGCCTTCCTATAAGTTTTAAGACTATCTTGCCAAATTAAACGAGAATTTTCCAGTTTGGTGGAACGCCAATTCCTCTCAAGTTTCCGCGATATTTGCGAGTTTCAGTATTATACCATGGAGCTAACCGTCTTTGTTTTATTATTTTCTTTTTTAGAGGGGCTACAGAGTCGAGTGTCATTCGCAGCGAGCCGGCAGCACTATCAACAAGATGATCGATTTGGGAGGGACTGAAATTAGCATAGGAGTCCTTTGTTACTTTGTGACTTGATAATGAATTTAGAGCTGATGGAATCGCATCCTTAAATTTAGCTTGTATAGAAATTTTTGCCCAATGGAGTGTAGTTCAGCAATACAAACTCAAAAGTTATCAAACAATGGTCGGACAAAGAGGGATTCTGTGGGAACACTATTAAATGTTCAATTTCAATACCATATACCAAAATAAGGTCAAGGGTCTGGTTAAAACAGTGAGTCGGTTCATGAACACTCTGAGAGAAGCCAGTGGAATCTAACAGAGAGATAAACGCAGTACTAAAGCTGTCATTCTCAAAGTCAACATGAATATTAAAATCCCCTACAATAAAGTTGACAAAAATTCAGAGTACAGACCAGGTGCTCGGTACACTATAACGAAAAGAATTGGTTGCAGTGATTTCCAACTTGGGTGCGAAAGACCAAGAACAACGCTTTCAAATAAGTTATAATTTAGTTTAGGTTTAGAGCTGATTAGTAGGCTAGAGTCGAAGATAGCTGCAACTCCACCTCCTCGGCCTGTGCCTCGAGGAATGTGAGTATTAATATGACTGGGAGGGGTGGATTCATTTAGGCTAACATATTCTCCTTCACCCAGCCAGGTTTCAGTAAGACAAAATAAATCAATATCATAATCTGATTTACTAGTACACCTTTAGAAGAGAGAGATCTGATGTTTAAGAGTCCACATTTAATTTTTAATTAGTTTGCACTATTGCTCTTGTGGTTTTAATTTTTATTAGGTTTTTATGTACAGCTCCTCTTCTGTTTATCTTTGATTTAAATAATTTCGATGGTCGGGGGGCAGACACTGTCACTATAGGATTTTCACTAAGTAACTCCTGAAATGAAGGAGCAGAGAAGTGTGTTAGACTGCGACTCTGCGTAGAGTTTTGGGTGGGTAACTGCTGAATTAGAAGGGCAGAGAAGTGTGTTAGACTGCGACTCTGCCTCCTGGTCTCAACTCTGGGTTGTCATGGATTTGGTCCACTAATAAACTTGGCCAGATTTCTAGAAATGAGAGCTGCTCCTTCCCAAGTGGGATGGATGCCGTCTCTCTGAATCAGACCAGGTCTTCCCCAGAAGGTCTGCCAATGATCTACAAAGCCCACATCGTTTGCTGGACACCACCTCGACAACCAGCAGCGGAATGACGACATGCGGCTATACATGTCATCACTGGAACTATGTGGAACTTGCATTGTGCTACTGTCTGTTCTCTTTCCTCCTGCTACCCATTTGAAAAGCTGTGCAATCCTTTTGTGAATTTGCCCCTGAGCACATGATGATCATAGAATGTTTTGGGAGTAAAAAGTATGCTGTGATACTGTATGGGCATTTTACCACGTTGACCACTAATGTGGCTAATGTCTGGTACGCTGCATAGGATGAGTTGGAGAGATCCGGTGTAAACATTCGTTTGAGTCTAAAATGAAGACCCAGGGTTCCCTCACTGGATGAAGGTGGATTTGTTGATGCAGTGGTGGTTGAAATAACTGGTGCAGCAGTGGAAGTGGCTGTTTCACTGAGCACTGTAGTTGTGGCAGCAGTAGTGCCAGCTGTAGCATTAAGAGGAGCTGTTGTCACCAGAACACTACTTGTGAAATCTAGTTGAGCTGATGTTCCATTTATGGGTGGAGACGTTGCACTGCCTAAAAGTATATTAAGAGGTATCAAATATTACAAGTTTACAATTATGTTCTTTGCATCATCTGCATCAACTCGTAGTGGGGTATTAAGTGTGGGAGACTTTGTTTACCTGGGTTTGAAATGGTGGAGATTGGTTGGACTGAGATTGTACCGACTTGTGTTGAGGTTACGTTGAGTTGCGGTGACGTCACATTGACTGGTAGCGAGGTTGTGCTGTGTGGTGCAGAGGTACTGCTGAGTGGCAGTGAGGTTGTGTTCACTAGTAGCAAGGTCGTGTTCAGTGGCGCAGAGGTCATGTTCACAGGTAGTGAGGTCATCTTGAGTGGCACTGAGGTCATGTTTAGTGGCACTGAGGTCATGTTGAGTGGCAGTGTGGTCGTGATGAATAGTGGTGAGGTTGTGTTGAGTGGCTCTGATATCGTGTTGAGTGGTAGCGACGTCATGGTGAATAGTGGTGAAGCTGTGTTGAATGGCAGTGAGGTGGTGTTGAGTGGCACTGAGGTGGTGTCGAGTGGCAGCGAGGTTGTGGTGACTGGTGGTGAGGTTGTGGTGACTGGCGGTGAGGTTGTGTTTACTGGCAGCGAGGTCGTGGTGACTGGAGGTGAGGTTGTGGTAACTGGTGGTGAGGTCATGTTGAGTGGCACTGAGGTCGAGCTGAGTGGCACTGAGGTCGTGTTGAGTGGCAGCAAGGTTGTGGTGAACGGTGGTGAGGTCGTGTTGAATGGTGCTGAGATCATTTTTACTGGCAGTGAGGTTGTGTTCACTGGCAGCAAGGTCATGGTGACTGTGGGTGAGGTCGTGTTGAGTGGCACTGAGGTCGTGTTGAGTGGCATTGAGGTCATGTTGAGTGGCAGCGAGGTTGTGGTGAACGGTGGTGAGGTTTTGTTTACTGGCAGTGAGGTTGTGTTCACTGGCAGCAAGGTTATGGTGACTTGTGGTGAGGTCATGTTGAGTGGTACTGAGGTCATGTTCAGTGGCACTGAGGTCGTGTTGAGTGGCACTGAGGTTGTGTTTACTGGCAGGGAGGTTGTGTTCACTGATAGCAAGGTCGTGGTGACTGGTTGTGAGGTCGTGTTGAGTGGCAGCAAGGTTGTGTTTACTGGCAGAGAGGTTGTGTTCACTGATAGCAAGGTCATGGTGACTGGTTGTGAGGTCGTGTTGAGTGGCAGCGAGGTCATGGTGACTGGTGGTGACGTTGTGTTGAGTGGCGCTGAGATCGTGTTTACTGGCAATGAGGTTGTGTTTACTTGCAGTGAGGTTGTGTTCACTGGGAGCGAGGCCGTGGTGACTGGAGGTGAGGTTGTGGTAACTGGTGGTGAGGTCATGTTGAGTGGCGCTGAGGTCGTATTGAGTGGCGCTGAGGTCGTGTTTACCGGCAGAGAGGTTGTGTTCACTGGGAGCGAGGTCGTGGTGACTGGAGGTGAGGTTGTGGTGACTGGTGGTGAGGTCATTTTGAGTGGCGCTGAGATCGTGTTTACTGGCAATGAGGTTGTGTTTACTTGCAGTGAGGTTGTGTTCACTGGGAGCGAGGCCGTGGTGACTGGAGGTGAGGTTGTGGTAACTGGTGGTGAGGTCATGTTGAGTGGCGCTGAGGTCGTATTGAGTGGCGCTGAGGTCGTGTTTACCGGCAGAGAGGTTGTGTTCACTGGGAGCGAGGTCGTGGTGACTGGAGGTGAGGTTGTGGTGACTGGTGGTGAGGTCATTTTGAGTGGCGCTGAGGTCGTGTTGAGTGTCACTAAGGTTGTGTTGAGTGGCAGCGAGGTCGTGGTGACTGGTTGTGACGTCGTGTTGAGTGGTGCTGAGATCATTTTTACTGGCAGTGAGGTTGTGTTCACTGGCAGCAAGGTCATGGTGACTGTGGGTGAGGTCATGTCGAGTGGCGCTGAGGTCATGTTTAGTGGCACTGAGGTCATGTTGAGTGGCAGCAAGGTTGTGGTGAACGGTGGTGAGGTTTTGTTGACTGGCAGTGAGGTTGTGTTGACTGGCAGCGAGGTTATGGTGACTTGGGGTGAGGTCATGTTGAGTGGTGCTGAGGTCATGTTGAGTGGCATTGAGGTCGTGTTGAGTGGCACTGAGGTTGTGTTTTCTGGCAGGGAGGTTGTGTTCACTGATAGCAAGGTCGTGGTGACTGGTTGTGAGGTCGTGTTGAGTGGCAGCAAGGTTGTGTTTACTGGCAGAGAGGTTGTGTTCACTGATAGCAAGGTCGTGGTGACTGGTTGTGAGGTCGTGTTGAGTGGCAGCGAGGTTGTGGTGACTGGTGGTGACGTTGTGTTGAGTGGCGCTGAGATTGTGTTTACTGGCAGTGAGGTTGTGTTAACTGGCAGCGAGGTCATGGTGACTGGGGGTGAGGTCATGTCAAGTGGCACTGAGGTTGTGTTGAGTGGTGCTGAGGTCGTGTTGAGTGGTGCTGAGGTCGAGCTGAGTGGCAGCGTGGTTGTGGTGACTGGTTGTGACGTCGTGTTGAGTGGCAATGAGGTTGTGTTTACTTGCAGCGAGGTTGTGTTCACTGATAGCAAGGTCGTGGTGACTGGGGGTGAGGTCATGTCGAGTGGCGCTGAGATTGTGTTTACTGGCAGTGAGGTTGTGTTAACTGGCAGCGAGGTCATGTTGAGTGGCGCTAAGGTTGTGTTGAGTGGCATTGTGGTCATGTTGAGTGGCAGCGAGGTCATAGTGACTGGAGGTGAGGTTGTGGTATCTGGTGGTGAGGTCATGTTGAGTGGTGCTGAGGTCGTGTTGAGTGTCACTAAGGTCATGTTGAGTGTCACTAAGGTCATGTTGAGTGGCAGCGAGGTCGTGTTGAGTGTCACTAAGGTTGTGTTGAGTGGCAGCGAGGTCGTGGTGACTGGTTGTGACGTCATGTTGAGTGGTGCTGAGATCATTTTTACTGGCAGTGAGGTTGTGTTCACTGGCAGCAAGGTCATGGTGACTGTGGGTGAGGTCATGTCGAGTGGCGTTGAGGTCATGTTTAGTGGCACTGAGGTCATGTTGAGTGGCAGCAAGGTTGTAGTGAACGGTGGTGAGGTTGTGTTGAATGGCAGTGAGGTTATGGTGACTGGGGGTGACGTCGTATTGAGTGGCGCTGAGGTCATGTTGAGTGGCATTGAGGTCGTGTTGAGTGGCACTGAGGTTGTGTTTACTGGCATCGAGGTTGTGTTCACTGATAGCAAGGTCATGGTGACTGGTTGTGAGGTCGTGTTGAGTGGCAGCGAGGTTGTGGTGACTGGTGGTGACGTTGTGTTGAGTGGCGCTGAGATCGTGTTTACTGGCAGTGAGGTTGTGTTAACTGGCAGCGAGGTCATGGTGACTGGGAGTGAGGTCATGTCGAGTGGCGCTGAGGTTGTGTTGAGTGGTGCTGAGGTCGTGTTGAGTGGTGCTGAGGTCGTGTTGAGTGGTAGCGTGGTCGTGGTGACTGGTTGTGACATCGTGTTGAGTGGCAATGAGGTTGTGTTTACTTGCAGCGAGGTTGTGTTCACTGATAGCAAGGTCGTGGTGACTGGGGGTGAGGTCATGTCGAGTGGCGCTGAGGTTGTGTTTACTGGCAGTGAGGTTGTGTTAACTGGCAGCGAGGTCATGGTGAGTGGCGGTGAGGTCGTGGTGAGTGGCGCTGAGGTCGTGTTGAGTGGCACTGAGGTCGTGTTGAGTGGCACTGAGGTCGTGTTGAGTGGCATTGAGGTCATGTTGAGTGGCAGCGAGGTCGCGGTAACTAGAGGTGAGGTTGTGGTAACTGGTGGTGAGGTCATGTTGAGTGGTGCTGAGATCATGTTGAGTGGCGCTGAGGTCGTGTTCACTGGCAGTGAGGTTGTGTTCACTGGCAGCGAGGTCATGGTGACGACTGGTGGTATGGTTGTGGTGACTGGTGGTGAGGTCATGTTGAGTGGAGCTGAGCTCGTGTTTACTGGCAGTGAGGTTGTGTTCACTGGCAGCAAGGTCATGGTGACTTGTGGTAAGGTTGTGGTGACTGGTGGTGAGGTCATGTTCAGTGGCACTGAGGTCATGTTCAGTGGCACTGAGGTCATGTTGAGTGGCAGTGAGGCTGTGGTGACTGGAGTTGAGGTCGTGTTCACTGGCACTGAGGTTGTGTTCACTGGCAGCGAGGTCATGGTGACGACTGGTGGTATGGTTGTGGTGACTGGTGGTGAGGTCATGTTGAGTGGAGCTGAGCTCGTGTTTACTGGCAGTGAGGTTGTGTTCACTGGCAGCAAGGTCATGGTGACTTGTGGTAAGGTTGTGGTGACTGGTGGTGAGGTCATGTTCAGTGGCACTGAGGTCATGTTCAGTGGCACTGAGGTCATGTTGAGTGGCAGTGAGGCTGTGGTGACTGGAGTTGAGGTTGTGGTAACTGGTGGTGAGGTCATGTTGAGTGGCGCTGAGGTTGTGTAGAGTGGCACTGAGGTTGTGGTGACTGGCACTGCGGTCGTGTTGAGTGGCACTGCGGTCGTGTTGAGTGGCAGCACGGTCGTGGTGAATAGTGGTGAGGTCATGTCGAGTGGTACAGAGGTTGTGTTGAGTGGTGCTGAGGTCGTGTTGATTGGCTCTGAAGTCATGTCGAGTGGCTCTGAGGTTGAGTTAAGTGGCACTGAGGTCGTCTTGAGTGGCACTGTGGTCATATTGAGTGGCTCTGAGGTTGTGTTGAGGGCCTCTGCGGTTGTGTTGAGTGGCTCTGAGGTTGTTTTAAGGGGCACTGCGGTCGTGTTGAGTGGCTTTGCTGTCATGTTGAGCGGCTCTGCGGTCGTGTTGAGTGGCTCTGAGGTCGTGTCGAGTGGCTCTGCGGTCGTGATGAGCGGCTCTGCGGTCGTGTTGAGTGGCTCTGAGGTTGAGTCGAGTGGCTCTGCTGTTGTATTAAATGGCTCTGCGGTCGTGTTGAGTGTCACTGCGGTTGTGTCGAGTGGCTCTATGGTCGTGTCAAGTGGCTCTGCAGTCGTGTTGAGTGGCTCTACGGTCGTGTCGAGTGGCTCTGAGGTCGTGTCGAGTGGCTCTGCTGTTGTATTAAATGGCTCTGCGGTCGTGTTGAGTGTCACTGCGGTTGTGTCGAGTGGCTCTATGGTAGTGTCAAGTGGCTCTGTGGTCGTGTTGAGCGGCTCTGAGGTCGTGTCGAGTGGCTCTGCGGTCGTATTAAATTGCTCTGAGGTCGTGTCGAGTGGCTCTGCCGTTGTATTAAATGGCTCTGCGGTTGTGTTGAGCAGCTCTGAGGTCGTGTCGAGTGGCTCTGTTGTCGTGTCGAGTGGCTCTATGGTCGTGTCGAGTGGCTCTGAGGTCGTGTCGAGTGGCTCTGCGGTCGTGTCGAGTGGCTCTGCGGTCGTATTAAATTGCTCTGAGGTCGTGTCGAGTGGCTCTGCCGTTGTATTAAATGGCTCTGCGGTCGTGTTGAGCAGCTCTGAGGTCGTGTCGAGTGGCTCTGTTGTCGTGTCGAGTGGCTCTGTGGTCGTGTCGAGTGGCTCTGCGGTCGTGTCGAGTGGCTCTGCGGTCGTATTAAATTGCTCTGAGGTTGTGTCGAGTGGCTCTGCCGTTGTATTAAATGTCTCTGCGGTCATGTTGAGCAGCTCTGAGGTTGTGTCGAGTGGCTCTGTCGTATCGAGTAGCTCTGCTGTCATATTAAATGGCTCTGCTGTCATGTAGAGTGTCTCTGCGGTCAGGTCGAGAGGCTCTGACGTCGTGTTTACTGGCAGTGAGGTTGTTTGCACTGCAACGAGAATAATTAGTTACACATAAAAGTTTAGTTTGTCAGTCCAGCTAATCTTGAATAATAACATACAGTTATTTTATATTAAGGTTGTTTATATATTACTTTAAGGTGGAACAGTATATAGCATATCATTCATACAATCAAATGTAAGTGATGAAGAGTGAGTAAAATAACCTTTTCTGTGAGATGCTTCAATTGATTACCCCTCTCCTGAAGAGGTGCATGCTTTGGGCATAGGGACGTTTTATTTGAAATGAAATGAGTTTCCACTTCCACATACATACAGTGTGCCTTTACATTAACAGGCGATGTGTGCACTGCTTCAATAAAACTCATTTGCAAATAATTAAGCGCCAATCATTAGCTACAAACAAAGATACAAAACCACATTTACATTTTCTTTCAAACATCATGGCAATGGCGGTGCATGTAGGTGTACACATACATTGCTGACATTGTGGGGACTCACCTTCCCTATGGAGACAAAATGCAATGCCCCATAACATAAATCATAAAATTTTAGGGTGAATACTTTGTTTAACACTTGTTTTAAACTGTTTTTTGACTTTATTGCTGAAATATCATTGAATGATGTCTGTTGGATTTTGATTTAATAGCCTAAGCTATAATTGTTCAGATCGACTGGATCAGGATGCTGAAACACATATTACGTATGACAGAAATGCAGTCTTCGCATAAGGAAGCTTTGGTTTGGATAAAGAAACAGCTGCCCCTAAGACGATCCACCCAGCCAAATCCACTGGACCAGGCACCATGGCAGGTGCTGTGAGGAGGAGAGGGAAGAGCGTCAGGATGGGAGCCATGCTGGCCTAGCTTGAACTTGGACAGGTTGCTTCTGGCTAATGTCCGGTCTGGACGAAATGGGACTCATGTAAGCCAAGCAACATTCACTTGTGTTGCTGTTGCATTGACTGGTGGTGAGGTCATGTGGTCTGGTGGTGAGGTTATTTTTACAGGTGGTGAGGTTGCATTGACAGGTGTTGAGGTTATGTGGACTATTGACGAGATTGTGTTTCCTTGTGGCAGCCTGCAAAGTCCACTGAGTCTGCCAATGCAGCGCGGCAACAGGTCGTGCGTGTCTATTTTTGACGGTAGCAGCATCAAGCTGCGCAGAGCAGATTGAGCCGTGCAGGGAGTCAGACACAGAACAGCATAGAGAATCTGGTAAATTTTCAAAATAAAACACCCTGTGCAACTCACAATCAAAAATCAAAATAAACAAACAAAAAAAGTAAGCCATGCAGACAACGGAACAAAACTGGGTCACAGTTGCCAGTAGAAGCACAAAAGGACTAACAACAAGCCAGCAATGCTCTCCGTTCCTGAAATGCATCTGAGACACTTGACGCCAGGCAGAGGGCGAAACAAACTGTTTAGCAGCAGTAAAGCAAATTAGCCAGACTCAAGTAGTCCTGACTATGGCCTTTCTCACCTAGTTTTCCAGTCAGGTTTCACTACGATCAGCTCAGCCAATCATGAAGTCCATCCATCCATCCATCATCAACCGATGATGTAAAAAATTTGGTAATGATTGCGCAAAGTGGGTGTGGCTTATTACAAGAAATGTAAATTTCTTGACATTTCTCATTCCTAACTTCAAAAAATTGAAGAAAATCATCCATAAGTCCTATAGAGCTGAAACGTTTTCAGCACATCCACTGACATGTGATCAGTTCAAAAGTCAGTCACTTTTTCAGAATATGCTAATTCAATTAACATCTATATCTCCACAAGTCTTTCTTCAAACACAAGTGTTTCAAAGGGTTTTCAGGTCGGTCAAACGGTGAGTCTACAGTGATATTCAGTATCTTGCTGTAACTTGTACAGTATGAACAACATTTTCTTTTTAACTCAGTTTTGGATCAAATCCCACAAAAATAATTAACAACACACCCAAAACCAGCATGTATGTTTTTTTTCAGAATTACTTCACCTACATCTTGACTGTTGTAGGAATTGCCTCAAGGCTGAGATATTGTGTTCATGAGAATGGGACAGACGAGGATGGACAACCTGAAAACGTAAGCTGTGAACAATAACTGTAAAAGAAGTGGAAGCAGTCACTGTGCTGAAACCCATTGGTTTGTCGACTAGTCTCAAGATTGGCCTTTTGGCTGTCGCAATCTTGCTTTTTTAGAACCAGAAATGACCATATTTGGATTACTGGGTGGTGCTGGATCCAGATGACTTTTCTAAGGTTTACCAGACACTTAATGATAGCTTTGAGCCTCACCTCTTGTCCTCGTCTGCAAAAAGAACCGCGACCTGCGGCTCTGCACTGATTTTCAATGGCTGAATGCTAGCACTGTCAGGGATGCACATCCCTTGCCTCACCGGGATTATGCCCTGGATGCACTAAAGTGGAGGTCCACAGGGATGACAAGAAGTTTACTGCATTCAACTACGTTTGAGCGATATGAGTACAACAGACTGCCACAAGGTCAATAGCAACAGCCCGGCCACATTCACAAGGATAATGATGGCCGTCTTTGGTGATCAAATTTTCTTGAGCCTCTTGTGTTAGCTGGATGACGTAATTGTGTTTAGTCCTGATGAGCAGTTGGCACCGCAGGGGTTGGAGATGGTATTCAAGAGGTTGAAAACGCACAACTTGAATCTTGCTCCCAAGAAGTGCTACCTCATGAGATCATCTGTGAAGTCATATTGTGAGGAAGGATGGCATCTCTACTCACCCGGAAAATGTCAAAGCCATTGTTGACCTGGATGAGAAGGATTAGAAGGAAGAGGGCACCAAGATCCCCTCAATCTCCAAAATAAGATCCTTCCTCGGAATGGTGGGATTTTAGTTCTTTGAGGGATACTCCCAAATGAGCAAGCCTGTTCTCGCTGACGTCTGGTATGAAGAAGCCCAGACGAGCCAAGGGAAAAAAGAGCCCACCTGTGTCCAGGGAGCGTTCCTCTACTGACTGGACCCCGGATTGTAGTGGAGCTTTCTAGAAGCTGAAGCAGGCATTGTTGGATAATGTCACTCTTGCACATTCCCATAGGCAGAAATCACGGGGGGGGTTATGTCCCCCCCCCCATTGGAGGGGTGTCCCCCCCCTTAAAAACCAACAAATAATATAATGATATATACTTAAAATAGCATTGTGTAAATAGTAAAACAATACAAACAGGGCAATTACAGTGCTTTATAAGTTTAGGAGTCCGGTGGCAGAAAACCAGTTCAAATCCGTCAGTAGTTGTGGAGCTCCAGTAATGTTAAGTAGGCTGGCAGGGTGGTTTTATGCACTTTAAACATTGGATGAGCTGATTCTTTTGTCTTTAATACAGATGATGCTGAGTCATTAATACATTTATCATGACAAAATGTTATGATAACCAATTATTTTTCCATGAGCCCACTCTGTCATTGCCTAGCTTATTTGGTAGCTTGTTTAACAGCTTATTGGACTGGAACTCATTTTCTACAGCTAGAGATGTGCAGATTGATCAGCTGGGGACTGAAATAGGCCGTTTATTTTCGCTTACTGGGCTCTGACCGGTGACCGGGGCGAGCAGTGTCAAATATCCAATTCTCTGCCGGTGACACTGAACGCTACAAACAGGCTGCGTGGCGCCATGTTTCACATGTGTGCACAGAAAGTAACCTCATGTCGCATCCACACACACACACAGGCTAAAACATGTCTTAGGTGTGTTGAAATTATTCACGAGTGAAGAAGACAACGATGGATAATGTAAAGCAGGGAGCAGGTAAAGCAACAGTTAACAGGGCTGTTGGTGACGATGTAATTCATACCACGGTGGTCTCTATTGGTAATTAACAACAAGCCTCCTCCACACGCAGCTCACCTGCTGCAGGTGAAAAACCAAACGTGAGTGCTTGTGTGTGTGACAGGAAAAGCAAGGTGAGCAGATTACTGTAGTTTGTGATTAAACACAAAAATAAATTTGAGAATATAATGTGTGCAATTTATTTTCAGCTCCTTACAGTGAAAATGCTAATCTTATTTTATAATCAGTGTTTCATTATGACCATACAATTGAGATCAGTGAGAATAGCCAACATTTCTACTTATGCTGATGGGGATACTAATAAAAATAGATTTTTCCAATAAATACTTACAAAAATATTTGTGTATGCTGTCAAATATAGATCTTAGAAAGAAATAAAATCGGAATCGGCAGATCAGACCTTTTAAAAAATCAGTGACTGGAATCAGCCAGGAAAAATGTAACCTGTGCATCGCTTACTACAGCGATAATCCTTTGTGTGAACCAATATTAGGCTAATACCGTAGATCTACCGTTGTAGAGGGAGATCAGTTCGCCTGCTGCCGTTAAATATATGTATATAAACAACTATTGCTTTGTGTTGTTGGTCAGAAAAATTGTAGTAAGGCTTCTCTGTGTACACGTATCCTATAAAAGTACAATTTTGGCTGTATTATTTGTATCCCTTTCAAAAATTGCTTTTGAGAAATGTTATGTTATGTTTATTGTCCCCCCCCCTACTGTGAGAAATTTACACCCATGCACAACCCATCTTCAGTAAGCCATTCCTGCTGTCAGTTGATGCCTCCTCTAATGGCCTCAGGGCTTTGTTGTCTTAGCTGGTCGACGGCGAGGACGCTGCACATGGCATTTGCCAGCAAATCACTCAACTATGCCCAGTCACGCTATCCAGCTCACAGGCCGGAATTCCTCTTACTTTAGTGGGCTGTTTGTGACAAATTCAGCCACTGGTTGAGAGGTCAAACATTCTCTGTAAGGACTTACAACAACCGACTAACTCTTACCTGTGAGCAGAGGAGGGTGTCCAACTTCCCCATATAAATGGCCCCATATAATTTTGAAATCATCCCCGGCCCTAAGAATGTGGTAGCGGATGCCCTGAGCCGTGAGCCATTTGTGCGACCCAGATTTATCACTTGAACACTTGTTCAAGCATTAAACAACATTTCCTGCATTCTGGTGATCACTTGTTACCTTGATGTACAATGAAACTCATGCCCCTTTCACACTTGACAAAACACATCTGGTTTTTGTATTCAGTAGGAAAGGGTGGGTTTGGCATTAAATCCTGTGTCAAATGATGACATAGTCACAGCAGTGATGGAAACATGACACCTGGGTGGAATTGGAATAGATAGAATAGGCCTAATTTCCGTCAGCTGGGTGACTTTAGATACGCAAAGTGATGTCTTTCAGAGCACAAACACTGTAGACCAGTATGGTGCTGTTACAGAGAGAGAGTGAGCAGTGCTCGAAATAAGTTTTAAAAACGCGTTTCCCAATGGAAGCATCTTACACGGAGGCTCTGACACTGACAGAAGCACCATCTGTACTGCCCTCTGCTGTGCCTCCTGCTGGTTAGTCAGAAGCAGTAGTGGTAGAACAGAATCGGAGGGAGCTTTAGTGCCAAGTAGTGTTTTACACACTGTTTTTGCTTTGGTGATAAGGTGCTACACGTTGACAAATATACAGTTGACATAAATAAATCTACAAATATATAAATATGGAATAAATAAATGCAAGTTATATAAGAATAATAAAAGAATAGAGAAAAATTAAAGCTGCAAGCAGTGTTGGGCGGGCCCTCGCACTTGTAGCGCGTCCGGGTGTGAGCCGGCCGCGTTGCACATTCTGGAGCTCTGCCAGTGCGGCTGTGAATTTGCTACGCGGTTCCGACGCTGCATGAAGGTGCTACATGTCACTTCCTGTGTCCCCTATGTGGAGCTACATAGCACTTGCCGCTATGAATATAAATCGGTATTGGCATGTAGATGTCTGCAGGGTGGGAGAGTTATCAAGCATGTAAAGTTTGGTTCAGATGTGAGCATGTACACTGAAGTTACAACAACTTCCTGTGTCACGGCGAAGAGTTGATCTTTGACGCCACGCCACGGACACGCCCATTGACGAAAACTCACAGATGGCACAACTTTTCATCTTCAATGCCTTTAGAAGGCACCGCAGAAATTTGAAGTCGGTCGAACTTCAGTGCTCTGTGTTTCATTACCCAATCAAAGGGATACCCTGTCTCCCCAAGTTGTGACATAATCCAGAAAGCCGAACTTTAAATAACCAAAGTCTCCAAAGATCCGAAAGCATTTAATTAAGTTTAATTAAATCTTCAGTTACCTGATTACGTTTGCCTCTATTTGAGTAGTTATGTTAACATGTTGTTGCTATCTGTTGTTGATATTAGTGCTGAAAAGAATCTAAATAAGTTACTTTTGCAGTGTTTTTATTTTCAGCAAGACACTCCCTCATCTAATGTAATCAATGCTTGTTCATAATACTTTCCTACAAAATTCCTTTAGAAATGATGTTAAAGAAATGTTTTACTATACTCTTAATCGCCAGCTTGAATTTAAGGATGAATAACTAAATTCCCCGGTTCCTAATGAGAGATGATCTTGGATTAGCTTTCCTCATGTAACCGGAGCTCCCCCAAGTAGACGAAATAAGTATTACATACCATCGTTGGAAATGCCGTTAAATGTATAATTATCCTGACCAATAATGTGAAAATTGTTTCCTGTTACCAAATGCTTAACTTAGAACAGTAAAACTGTTCGACAATTAAGGCTTGATTGTGGAAAATATTTGATTATAATACGTGCAAAGATTTATTTTCCTTTAGACATTAAGTTTAGAAAGGCAGTCCCTTGGGAAACCTGAAACGCCCTCTGGGGAACCACGCCCCAGGCAACAAAAGAGCGACACGCTACGTCGTTCACGCTCTTCTCTGCTCTCTCGGCTCGCTCTGCCCTCTGGACGCTTCGGCACGCGTCCAGCGTGCCTCGCCAGGCAACGCTCTCAGAGTCGGCCAGCGAAATAGGCCTTTTGTTCGCTTGAAGCTATACACGCGAAGTGCCGCGACATTGATCTGCCCCTCAGTTTGTTTTATTTTCTTTCTTCCTTTTGTTTTGTTAAAGTTATCAGTCCGTTAAGCTACACTGGACTAATTCAGGAACGACCAAGTTCCATTTTTAAGCTTTGTCGTCGAGCCAACTTCACCGAGGTCAGACCAAGCCACGTGGTCTTGCCAGCGGCAACAAAGGAAACCTGAAAACAGCCGAATTGCCAGACGGAGGACGGCGTTTTCTTCAGTCAGACACGGAGAACCCCGGAGAATCCCTAGCAAAAAGCCAGGCTCGGGCAGCTAGCGTGGGACCCGTGCAACAGGCCAAAGTAGGCCATCGACAAGCCGTAAGACCTAACCAACATTCTGTGGTCAGAGATTTCCTTTTAACTCTTTTTTATCACATTAGTTAGAGAATAAATTCACTGTAATATAATCAAGAACTGTTGCCTATTTCTACGTCCCTGCCAAGAGAATTAACCCTTCAGATTTGAGACTGACTGAGTGATTTAAGATAATTGAGCGATTATTAACTAACTGACCACTAGTAATAATTGTATAATTATTAAAAACTACCTAGAGGTCCGGAGACTCTAGGATTATAACAACTCCGGTGGTGCCCTTAAACGAGGAATATTGTTGATTTTATGAATATTAAAATTCATAATTGGGTATTAATTCTCATAAATTTATTAAAATGCATAACTAAATCTAGGTTTGCTACATAGTTTATATTGAGTTTAACACAGCAGTGTATGAGTAAGGGCTGGCTGATATGGACAAAAATAGTAAAATCATTATCTTTATTATCCATCCATCGTCAACTGCTTATCCTGCGTACAGGGTTGCGGGGGGCTGTAGCCAATCCCAGCTGGCATTGGGCGAAAGGCGGGGTACACCCTGGACAGGTCGCCAGTCCATCCCAGGATTATCTTTCTTATTATAAGTTTAAAGGCTGATTTTTGCTCTTGAATAAACCAGATGGCTAACTGCTTTTAAATTTTTCTTTATGGTCAGAACAAACACACAGTGGATCACTTCACACATCTGAGGTAGAACCATTGACTGTATAAAACAACAAATATGCATGAGAAAAATAAAGTAAAATCTTTTTTCAGTCCCTTTTCCTCAACACAATAAATATCTTAATAGAAAAGAAAATGCTAATTCGTTTGTGATTCAAATGAATAAAATCAAATATTTATTGAACATGTTATATTGTTATTGAGGAAAACTGTATCAGAATAATTACCATTATTGTTTTATTGCCCAGCCCTAGTTCACATTCAGAAATGGACACGATCAGTTCACCAAAAACATGAGCATGATCAATAATCAGCACACTGTCTAGGCGCCTGTCTGTGCTGTCAGACTTTTGTATTTTATTTGCAGAAGTGTCTCTGACCACCTCCAGAGGTCGTTTTGCTGATTGGATCAAGATCTGTCCTCAATGTGTCTCAGGTGCATTTACACATGTACTTTCATGTGGTCAAGTGCTACATCACAATCTGATCACCTAAAATACATTTTAATGCCAGGTGTAAACAGCTTCTATGTTCCCTGATTCGGAATATGCAAAGTCATTCACCTGTGGTGAAAATCAAACTGCCAAATATGGCATTGCGTCGTTCATTAAGAGATCAAACGCACGTCTCTTTTCTATCAAAGAAATTGTTTCAAAATTTGAAGTCGTAAATTTATATTTGTTGAGGTCTTAAAATGTCTTAAAAAGCATTAAATTTTACTTTTAAAATGGTGCAAGAACCCTGAAGCGGCCACGCCCCTAATAATGCAGAACTTAAATTGGCTTAATATAACATCACAAAGGGCAAAATTAGCGATATGCACTAAAACCATTTTTTGAACCAGGCAGTAAACATGTTTTATTCTGCTGTAAAGTTGGGCATTTTAACATGGGGTCAGAGGAGATTGACTCCCTTCTGCAGCCAGCCTCAAGTGGCCACTCGATGAATTGCAGTTTCAGATACTTCTGTATTGGCGTCAGGCGGGAGACCGGAAGGTTGCCGCTTGTTCTAGCCATCATCTAGTCTGTTCTCTGTCTGGTTTGGATCAGCCACCAAAAAGGACAGGGACAGACTACAACGAACAGTCAGGACTGCAGAAAAGATCATTAGTGCCAACCTGCCCTCTATTCAGGACATTTCGAGAGTCTGGAAACATGCAGGAAACATCACTGCAGATCCATCTCACCCCGGACACAACCTGTTCCAGCTTCTCCCCTCTGGTAGGTGCTATAGAGCACTGTACACTAAAACCAACATACTCAGAACAGTTTCTTCCCACAAGCTGACTCTACTGTGCAATAACCCAGTAACTCTGCCTCTAATCAGCCACCTTTACTGGCTACCACTTATTATTTATTCATCATTTTCTATTTCAGAGCTGTTCATACTGTTCATATTGTACATTGTATATTGTACTGTTTAGATCAACCTAAATAAAAGTATTTCTCCATCCCCACATTCATTTTATGAAAAGTAATATAAACATTTTATAAATGAAAGCGGCTTGGTTTGGACAAAATTGACAACTCTACCAGCTACACTTGATGACATACAATAAAGTAAATAATAGGTTGCCTTTGACATCATGTGAAAACAATTTGTTATCGTTAAAGAATGTATAGTTGTATCATTATGTTACCTGTTGTGACATTGGTTGTAGCTGTTCCCACTAGTCCTGTAGGGAAAATGTCATAATGATCAAAACTAAATTTAGTCCAATTCAGGTTTCCCACAATCTCATAGATGGATGAACTCCAACAAATACCTGCTAACAGGAGAAGGAATCTGAGAGGCTCCATCCTCCCTGTGTTTTATTCCTGTAAAATATTGAGAAATAATTATAAATACATTTTGAATACATTTTAGTATGCAGAACAAATATGAAGACTGATGTCATTCTTATAAACATTTACTAGCCAGTTTATTAGGTACACCTAGCTAAAACAAATACAGTCTAAAACCGCAATAAATCATTAAAACATGAAGGTTATAACATTGATTAAACTTAATGGTCAGCGTTGAAGTTGTAGTTTGTTGTGCTGTTGAACTGCATTGCATCATACTGAGAGGCATCATACTGAGAGGCATTTCTAATCTTCACCCCATTTATATCAATACGGGTACTTAATATTAGAAATACCTCGCAGTATAACATGATACAAATCAACAGAACCTGAAAGACTAAAATTGTCTGAAAACTGAACATATGGGAAAGTAGGATATATTGTAGGACTGTTTTATTAATCTTCATTATTTGTAGCAAGGTATACCTAATAAACTGGCAACTAAGTCTAAGAACAAGAGTGATTTTGACTTAATGCTTGCCCCATCCTCTACTTGTGTGTGTCAGGGACTCAGTACTCATCCTTATTATTTAGCAGATGCCTGGGTAATGCCAGTATTGTAGAAAAACAACTTGTCACATCTGATAAAGTAGCACCACACCTCTGTTTAAAATTCCAACTGCAGGTGAATGCTCTGCTACAAGACTAAAATTTATGCACGGCATAATAGCATCATGTGGGACATTCAGATTCATCTCCAAGAAAATCCTGTGTGTTACTACTGACATGTTTAGGAGGCATACATTTCTTGTGTTTATTTGTGGATTGAATTAAAATTTCTGTCAACCTAATATTTTAGTAATAGGTTATGGGCAAGTTATCAAATTACACAAATAATTACTTAACTCCTTAAGACTCACTAAAACTCCTGACGCAGTATTGATCTGTCTATGCCATGAATGTATCAGACTTTCAGTTTGAGATTCACATGTCTGTTATATATTTAATTTATGTATTTGATGTAATTTGTATCAGAATACATTTTCATGCTTTATTGTATGTATCCTTTTTCACATAATCAATATTGGTAGATACTTAAAATAAATTTCCTGTGCAATGGTTGAATTCATTGCAATTCTTATTAGACCATGTTTGCTGTGTGTCTGAGCAAATAGCTAAAAAAGTCACTCAATAAAATTGTGTGACTTAAAAGCAGTACACATAACAATGGCAAAACCTAGAGGGTATAAATTATGATTAGAATTTGTCTGATAGCCTTTCCCCTAAACCCAAATAGAAATCCTTCATTCCAAATCACAGAATTCAATTTACAGTCCCAAAAAGAGTAGTAAACATTGTTTTAAAAAATTGCAATATGTGTGGCTTACAGCCTTTTCAAAAGTAAATTAGCAGACATAAAGTACACATTGGTAATACAAAGTGATTCCATGTCAATATAAACATTTGATTTCTTACCTTCAACTGTCCAACTGTGCAGCAATATTGTTATATTCACTGCAATTGTTCAATAAATGGTTCAAGCTAACACTAAGAAGGCTTCAGACACCTTATTCTCTTGAATCAACAAGTTGAAGTGAAGACTTTTCATTGAGTGAGGATTGTGTGGGTGAAGAAATTCTTACAATTTTAGATGTCTGACTTAACTTGCTGGACTTGTTCTGCTGTGCATCATTTCCTCCAAGGATGGAATAGGATGATTGAGTTTGAGTGATGGAAGTAACTTTGTTATTTCAAACTTTCTTTCTTTCTTTCTATATTAATCCAATTAGCATTGGTTATTCTTCCTGTGGTCCATTAAATTGCATGTTCATAATAAAACATTGACTGTTACAAAGTTCTAAATTTTGTTGAAAGCTGGAAATGTTTGAGAGTAGTATCCTGGCGCTGGTTATTACTCTCACTCACACTCAGACACATCTCGAAATTAAAAGTGCCCCAGGTTAGGCTACTCAACAGAACTTCTTTGTACAAATAAAATCAAACTGAAAATAAATTGCAGTATTACACGGCTCAGCGTTTCCCACAGAATGACAATGTAAGTGTGGTAAGGATAGGGTTATAAGCATATTTTATTTTAAAATATATTATATAAATTAACCTATTTCTAGTACATACGTTATGATATACACATTGGAAATGAAAAAGTTGATCTTTATAAGAGTACCATTAATTGCGCCTACTACTCCTGGGAAACCAGCTATTTGCATGAATTGTGTTTGGATTACGAAGGCTGTTGTTGGGAAGTCGATGAAACACGTGACAATGTGTGGAGCTGTAAGTGCCGTAATGTTTTCCATGACAATTCGGCTTATTGATGGTTGTGATGGCCTCATAAATCATCAACATTGCCTTGCTGCATTTGTCCTGTGGCAAAGAAACAAAGTTTCAGCACCACGTTCATTTCAGCTGAACACGTATTGCTGTGACATCCCTCACCAACTCGCTGATAAAGATGATGCCTGCTCTGTCCAAACATTACTGTATAATTAGCTGTGCGTCATCAAATTATTCAGAAATATTATACCTCTCCTGAAAGATTTCTCTGTCTCTGGTGCCATCACAGGTCCATACTGGCAACTTCTAACCCCTTGAGAGACCTCTTGCGCTGTCTTAAATAACTGGGTGAGTAAGAGTGATTCTTAGCTTTAAGAAATTTGATAACTTGCTTTTATAGTTAAGTTTGAAAGTAGGAGTAAATTTTATGAATTCTCAGCACTTAAGACTAAAATTGCACTTTGAGAAGCTTGATAAATACCGGCCCGGATGTTTCAGATTAGATTAGATTTATGAATTAGAAGGCAGTGAAGCCACTGCCTTCATAACTGAATATTGTACTGAATATTAAAAATGCCTCGCCGTATAACATGATACAAATCAACCACAGAAATGTACCTGAAAAGACTGAAATTGTCTCCACAAAAAGATGAAAATATGTGGAAGTAGGATATATTGTACTGTCACATTATTCTCTATTATTTATAGCAAGGTATACCTAATAAATTGACAACTAAGTCTATAGAGGGCATGCGTTGATGTCACTTCCCCTTCCGGAACACGCTGGACTGAGTGGCAAAACATCTGTTACCATGGCTGCGTTTAGCAAACCGGGAGCGAAACAAGTGATTATTTGCTCAAATTAAAGGCAGTCGGACTTGACAGTGATACTTACTGCTCAACAAAGAACCAGTGATCCAGCTCGTTCCCATTTTAGATGTGTTGTTTGTGTTTTAGCTGATTCAAGCTAACACTGCTGCTCGTCTTTCTGCCACTCAGTGAGCGTAACTGCATTCTGTGACATCATGCGCATACCCTCTATATGTAGCAACTCAAATGTAATAACAGAACAAGAGTGATTCTGACTTAACGACTTAATGCTTGCCCCAGCCATCCTCTACTTGTGTATGGCAGGGACTCTATACTCAGCAGATGCTTGGGTAATGCCAGTATTCTAGAAAAACAAGTTTGGGTAACTTTGTCACATCTGATAAAGTAGCACCACACCTCTGTTCAAAATTCCAACTGCAGGTGTATGCTCTGCACAACATAATATCATCATGTGGGACATTCAGATTCATCTCAAACATCTCTTCATGTCAAACACCTGATTTGAGATACCATGGTTATTTTCAGCTCAATAGAGAATGGCAATACAAATAATGACCATGAAAACAATGAAGATAATTATAAAGAGCCAAGAAAATGAATGATGTGACGGCCCCAGGGCCTCTGCCAGGTTGTTTGTGTGTGTGTGTGTGTGCGCTTCTGTGTTTTGTTACAGGGTGAACTTCCTGGTGGAGTGGAGCTGAGGCAATCAGGCAGACCAGAGGCAGCTGGCCACTGTCTCCAGATTGCATAAAACCTGCCCCTCCCTGATTGTTGCGGGCCTTGACTGCTTGCTTTTTCCTGGTCCCCAGCGCCACTGCGTGTTGCTTTGCTGTGCTTTTGTTAATTTAGTTAATCTGGCGCTATGTTTTGCCACCCACATTTGTTAAGCTTTAAAATTATTTGTTATATTGGTTAAATTTAATTACTTTTATTAATAAACATCCTTTTCTGGTAATCCCTTAAATATGGTTTCCTATATTTGTTATGGCCATAACAAATTGGGGGCTCGTCAAAGTCATGAATTATGCTATTAACAGTGGTTAATGGATCCAATTTTGACCGTAAATACGGTGAGTAGGAGTGCGTTGTTGTAAATTCGTGCCTTCCCTGGAGGTTTCCCCAGGTGGTGACGTGTAGTCTGGGATTCCCTTCAATTCGTTCTTTTTTTTTAATGGAAACGTATGTAAGGGAATTAACGAGGTGTAATTTGGTGCTGTGGGGTGATGGAATCGTTGGTACAAATTTGTTTCTGTCTACAAAATAGTCACAGGACAAGAAAGGTAAGTGTTGACCTTTTTTTGCGCAAATGTATATATTGAGCTAACTCCCCTGTAGGTATAGCGCGTTTTCCTCTTTTGGATTCGTGTGCATACGAATGTAGTGTGGGGTGAAAGTGGTTGGAGCGGTTGTCTCGGGGAGCACGTCAGTGGTTGTGGTGAAGTTGCCAGCTAACTGGTCGCTTGGCCAAACTACTGGGTTTTGGTGCGTAAATATCCGCCACCAGTAACTCCTGAAGACCAGGGTTGAGTTATGTAGATCGGGTTAGGCAGTTTAGAGGGGACGCTCAATTTATGAGGTTACTCTGTGGCCTGTGTTGCGCATTAGTTAGGTCAATACTGTACATTCTTTTGTTTGCCAGGGACTGATTGCTGTTTGTGCATTGATCAGGTGGTGTTAATCATGGCAGGAGTAGATGATTTCATTGACATTCCTTCGGAGGAATTTTTGGATCAGTGTACTAGGGATCAGTTGTTAAAGATAGTTGATCATTATAAAATCAGCGTAGGTGACAGGAGGTTAAAGGAAAATGTTAGATCTATTATAAAGGCACATTTGTATGACATGGGTGTTTTAACACCTGTACAAAAATCAGTCCTACCAATGTGGCTTTGGGTGGTTTTTCCTCAGGATCTCCTCATGTAGCTTTAAATTTTGAACAGCAGAAAGAAATGTTGATTTTGCGGGGTGAAGTTAGAGAAACAGAAGGAGTTAGAAAAGATGCGGCAGCAAGCACAAGTTGATAAAGTATTAGCACTAGAACAAATGAGGCAGCAAACGGAAAGGGCAAAGTTATATCTAGAAAATGAGAAACTGAGGTTGATTAAAGAAGGTAAATTATGTGCCTTGTCATGGAAAGAAGAGTTGTCTAGCGATAATTCACGTGATATTTTGAATAGTTTGCGCTTGGTGCCAAAATTTAGTGAGAAGGATATTGATGTATTTTTCACTTTGTTTGAGCGTGTTGCAGACGCGAGGGGCTGGGTTGATTCAGATCGTATAGTTTTGCTACAATGTGTGTTAACTGGTCGTGCTCCGTTGGAGACAGCGGTGATTATGCCAAGGCTAAAGCGGCTGTACTGAAAGCATATGAATTAGTCCCTGAAGCATACCGTCAGTGTTTTAGAAGTTGGAAAAAGGGAGATAAACCATATCTTGAATTTGCCCGTGATTTGGTAACTCACTTCAATTGATGGTGCTCGGCCTCAGATGTAAAAGACTTTGACTTGTGTAACTTGATGGTGCTTGAACAGTTGAAAAATTCAGTCCCACACAATCAATCTGTGTGTCTCTAAACATAACACTTATCATGGCATGATTTGTTTGGGGGTCTTGAACACACAGTGAAACTATAACTGGAGAAACTGGAGAATCTGGAGAACTGTATCCATCATCATACAATCATACAATGAGATTGTATTGGTTACCTTAATAAAGAAGTTTTAAAATTGCCAACAGCACACACATTTGACGAAGGGAAATTATCAAATGAGGGTAAATTAACTTGTAGAAAACATTACAACAGAAAAATAATTTTTTTATTAAAGCTGCAAGCAGCGTTGGGCGGGCCCTTGCACGTGTAGCACTTTGAGGTGTGAGGCGGCTGCCTTGCAGATTCTGGAGATCTGCCTGTGTGGCTGTGAAATTGCCACGTGCTTTGTACACTGCATAAAGGTGTTAATCATCATTGCATCCCCTTTGTGGCGCTGCATAGCACTTGGCTCTTTGACTATAACTGAATATTGGCATGTAGATGTGTTCGGGGCGAGACTTATCAAGCACGTAAAGTTTGGTGCAGATGTCAGCATGTACACTGAAATTACTAGAACAAACATCCTGTTTCATGGCGAATCATCGATTTTGGATGCCACGCCACGGGGACGCCGTTCCACGAAAACTTCGTTTGAACATCTTTTAATCGTCAACGGGTTTAGAGTAGACCTGAAGTCGGTCAGACTACTTCTGTAGGAGGAGTTCGTTAAAGTATGGAGCCTGTAAATCATCCAAAAATGACCATAAAATTCGAAATGGCCATCTTCCTGTTGGGTTTGGAGCATTGCTCCAAGAGGCTTATGGTACATCTGGACATGATACATGTGCCACAGAAATGTTATGTTTATGAAGGTAGTGAAGCCAGTGCAAGAAAGGACCTACGCTGTAGTAATATTACAGAAAATAAAATTTTTATAGTAGTTTTACAAAA